GCTGGCATCATGCATGTTTGCAAGGCACAGTCCAGGTGTGCTGTGGCGGGCGCCCGTGTCGACCAAAGCTCCACTACTGTGTTTGGGTACTCTGGGGGCTGGGGGCCCGGCCCGCCTCTGCAGCTGGCATGCGGCATGCTTCCTGGGTGTTCCTGGTGGGCTCTCTTGCTAGGCTGTCCCGGCAGTGTCGCTCGGCAGGTGCTCAGCAGGTGTACCAGCACCAGTCTGCGGGGTGCGTGAGGACCGTCTGCGGGGTGCGTGAGGACCGTCTGCGGGGTGCGTGAAGACCGTCTGCGGGGTACGTGAGGACCGTCTGCGGGGTGCGTGAGGACTGTGCTGCGGCCAGAGGGCAGCAGAGTTAAAACTGATCTGTGTGGGGCTGCACTGCCGGTGGCATTCAGAGAGCAGAGCCGCCCTTGCGGGAGCTCCACCTGCTGCCAGCTCCTGAGCCAAGGTGCCACAGGCGATTGTGTGCTCTGCCCATTGCTGCCCGTCCTGAGGCCAGGGAACATGGCCAGTGGACCCTGCCGGTGAGGCCATGCTTCTGCCAGTGGCTGGCATGGGGGCTGTGCCTGGGACACCCCCCACAGGGCGTCTTTCCCCTGAGTGGCTTCCCCCTTGGGTTTGAGGGTGCCTTGCTCCTGGCAGAGCAAAGCATCAGCACAGGGTGGGGCCCAGTGCCCCTACACCCAGCCTGGGGAGGTTAGGCCTCCTTCAAGGTCCCTGCTCCTGCCCTGCTGGGTGGCCAGAGGACAGAGTGGGCTTTCGTGGGAAGCCCCAGGCTCTCGGGGGACACAGGCGCCCCCTCTTCTTGCACTGACTGAGTTTGTCAGAGCAACTAGTCCTGGGCCAGTGGCAAGCGTGATTGGACCAGACTGCACTCGCACGCCCTGCTCCGCCTACTGGGCTGGGCCGGGTTGGTCCCTGGGTGCCCAGGCCATGGCTGCTGGGTGCGGGGTGCTGTGTTTGCGTGTGGAGTGGGTATGCCATGGGCGGGACTATGTTTGCCTTTGGAGTGGGCGTGCTGTGGGGGGGCTGTTTGCATGTGGAGTGGCCGTGCCAGCGTACACTCCCCCCATCTCCCTAGCGTCTGTTCCTTGTACGAGCGCTGACCGCATTCTGCGTTCTTGGACGGTGCGTTCCCATGCCATGTTCTCCCAGGAGCTTGGCTCCCGGGGCCGGCACTGCCCACTGCCTGGGGGAACAGTGGCCAGACGGTGAGTCAGCGGGCAGCCCTGGGCAGAGCAGGAGGCAGAGGCAGCCCCGAGACCAGCTGGAGGTGGCCCCTGGGGCTCGCAGGAACTCTGGAACCATGTTTCCCTGCTGGGCGGGCCAGCAGGGGTCTGCAGGTTGGTGACATCGGCAGGCTCCTCTGCAGGTAGGCTGTGTGTGCTGGGCAGGCCCTGAGCCAGGCTAGTGGGAACCTGGCTCTGCTGCTGTACTGCTCTGGGACCCTCGCAGGCCTCCCTGTCCCTGTGTCTGTGCAGTGGGTCATGATCTAGGGCGAGTGCAGCCCCCCACATGACACAGTGCCCACTTCAGGCCCGGGGCTGGAGCCAACCTTGCAGCTGTGCAGATGGGTGGGGAGCCGAAAGGCCACTCACTCCAAAAACTTGTGTCTCAGTTCCTTGTTTGCACTCGGGGCTGGAAGTCCCCGGTGGGGGTTCCCAGGGGCGCTTGGATTACAAATGGCCACCACTCCTGGTGGCAGCCACGGGCTGGGGGCTGGGGTCACCTGCAAGGGCTGGACGGGCGAGGGCAGCCATGATGTGGCATGGCCGGTGCCCTGTGCCTGGGCTGCTTTTGTTGCTGCCCATGTCACATCCTCTCCTGGGGGGTCGCAGCTGTAACACCTAGCCTGCTCCCAGCCTCTGGGCTCCCTGGAAGAGCAGAGGTCTGAGCTGGCCTGGGCTTGTAGCCGCAGCCTGGTCCCAGCAGAGGGCAGGGCCGTGTCCTTCAGAGCAGAGGTTAGAGGCCTGGGGCTCCGTGCCCGCCTGCCGCGCGTGCTGCCGGTGGCTGTTGAAGCCCCTGGCAGGTCTGTGCTTGCTTCAGCTCAGTGAGGGCTCTGGCCGGGGAGCACCCCTGTTCTCTTCCCGGCATGCTGGTGGTCAATTGGCTGTGCTCCCTGTGCGCTCCTGCGAGCAAGCGGCTGGATCGTTCTGACCCACATTCCAGGGCACAGCGCCTCCCCACGGCTCTACCTGCTGAGGGCGAGCGGGGCAGAAGTGGCCCTGCTAGAGTGTCCACGCTGGGGAGCCCTTGGGTTCCCACGGCGTGGGTTTCAGGGCTGCACTCTGGCTGATTTGGTGCTGAGCACCAAATCACCCCAGCCCAAGACCCAGCCTTCCCACTTGGGCGTGGGGGAGAGGTTTCCAGAAAGAGGGGCTCCTGGTGTGCCCTCTCCTGTCTGCCAGTGGGCAGCTGGCTGGACCTGCGTGGACGGGCACCCTGGGTCCCATGGTATGCCAGCCACTTGCCCAGTGCCCCCTTGGGTTCTGCATCGAGGCCAATGTGTGCTGCTGAGAGATGAGGAAGTGTGGCCCAGGGTGGAAGAGGCCTGCTCCTCAGCTTGCCTCATCCCTGGGAGCCCATGAGGGCAGGAGACTGCAGGCCCTTGGGTTCTCCCTCTGGAACGCCATGGTGGAGGGGGCAGAGAAAAGCGGCAACACACGGCACACTGGGCCTCCTGGTGAGGTGGGGGGTGTCTGCGGAGCTATCCTGGGCCCCTGGGTGGGGGGTATCCTGGGGCCCCTGAATGGAGCCGCCTCAGGCCCTCCTGTGCCTCCTGCACCTGCCCCCGTCCTTCTCTGGCTGGGGCTCCTCCCCTGCCTGGGCCTGAGGCCGTGCTGGACTTCACCAGCCTGCAGCCTGTGTGGGGGCCCTCCCTTCACCAGGGTGAGAGGCTGCCACTCGGGGTGTGTTTGGAAGGCACGCTCCCCGGTCCAGCGACAGGAGCCAGCTCACCTCTTGCTCCTTGGAGGCCAGCACTGGCTGGCCGTGCTGTCCTTGGGGCACACTGGGCCTCTGCTGGTGGGCCAGAGCCTTCATGGGAAGCCAGTCGCAACATAATGTGGCCCTGTTGCCCCCACACAGTGCTCAGGGTGACCCTGGTAGTATCGCTGGGCATCGCCCCCTCCCTGAGCCCAGTGCTCAGGGAGGATTGCTGGGCTGAAGGCGTCCGTGCACATTGGAGCACTGGGACACTGCGCCCCATGACCTTGGGAGGCGCTGTCCAGCCATAGGCCCGGGGGGCCTGTTCTGTGCCCAGGTGTCTGCCTCCTCCCTCCTGCCCTGGCAGCAGGACAAGGACAGTGTGTGCCGGGCAGCGGCCTACTCAGGCCTGTGGTTGGGCAGGGCTCTAAATAGACAGGGTGAGCTCACCGGGGCTGAGCTGTGGCCGCTGGGCAAGTGCTGGGGGACCTGCCTGGGGGGCCCCGTATTGCAGGTGTGTGGGGGACTGTGGTCTTTCCTGACTGGGCCTCTGGCCCTGGTCCTGACCATGCACCATAGGCAGAAGCCTGGGGGCTCCGTGGCGAGTTGGCCCTGGGTAGAGAGGCTGTTCCGTGTACACCTGGGGTGATAGAGCAGGGGCTGAGGACAGGTGAAACACCAGGGTGTGGTCCCCGGCTAAGCCCTGGGGCATGTGGTGGCCCACCTGGCAGAGCTGACTGGGTGCAGGCCGGAGGCACAGCCGCCACGGCCTCCTATGCTAGGACAGTCTTGAGGGCATGGCCTCCCTGTAGGTGGGTCCCCGGGCGTCTCACCCAGTGAGGCAGACACAGAGCCCAGCCTTGCAGTGCTGGGTTGGCTGCTAGACTGGGGAGCCTGCCAGGGGGCACTATGTCACCTCCACAGGTGCCTGTTTGATGTGTGTGGGTGGGGATGGAAAGCAGTGTGCCCACCCTGGACGGCTCTGCTGAGCCCAGACAGCAGCCTGGAGCGGGTGCAAGTGTGGGCAGAAGTGAGGTGAGAATCCAAGGTGGCTTGATGCCATCATGTTGGATTTATTTGAAATGCAGACAGAGCCATCTGCAGGCTCCCCCTCACATGGCTGCAGGAGCCGGAGCTCCGGCTGGGTCTCCCTCGCAGGTGCAGGCCCCACACATGGGCCATCCTCCATGCCTTCCCAGGTACGTGAGCAGGGAGCTGGATGGAAAGTGGAGCGGCTGTGGTGCTGTGACATGCGTCGCACAGCAGCTTCACCGGCTGTGCCACAATGCCGCACACTGGTGTCGGGGCCGTAGGACTGTCCACTCAGGCCTGGAACTGTTTTGAATTCACCTGGCATGGGGTATCCTTCTGGGAGCTCACGCCCCGGTGGGTGCTGGAGCATGGAGCTTGTTCCTCCCTGTAGTCCCAGGTGTCTCCCACTCCTCCCGGCCAGTTCCTGCATTGCACAGGCAGAGCCCTAGGGCGCCGGCGCTGCCCTGAGCAGAGATCTCGCAGGACGGGCCCTCGTGGGCCACATGCACATCAGCACGGAGGGTTAGTTCGGCCCGCCCCACTGGTTGCCTGCTTGGAATCCAGTTGGCGGAAAGTGCTGGGGACAGGGCGCTGCCACAGCACGCAGTGTCTGGGTTAGGGGAGAGGGACATGCCTCACACGCAAGATAAAGCCCAGCGGTTCCCTGAGCCTCTATGCGCAGGATCCCCTGGCACTGGCAGATGGCATCTGCCCACTGGGCAGTGGGCCACATGGTCCACGCTGGTGCTTCCCTCCTGTTGTGTCAGACTTCATGGCCGCGTCCCCTGGGCTTATTGGGGGCCACACTGCTGCCCTGGTTCTCTGGCGCCTCTACTTGGTGCTGTGTGCTTTCTGCTGGTGGACAAACCCCACTGAAGAACTTTGTGCGTGAACATGCATGTCCTGGAGCCCCGCGCCCCACCACGGAGCAGGACAGACCTGGGGCTTGTTGCAGGACCCTCCTGGCAGGTGCATGTGGGGAGGGCGGCAGGCGGGGCGGCCGGGACGCAGCCTGAGCGCTGCTGCTTCTCTTGCAGATCCGGAACATGGTGGCCGTGTTGGAAGTCATCTCCAGCCTGGAGAAGTACCCCATCACCAAGGAGGCACTGGAGGTGAGGGCGAGGACGGGGGAAGCTGGCAGGGCAGGGGCGCGGGGCAGGGTGCTCGCAGGGGCGTCACCGGCTCTGTCCCCGACAGGAGACGCGGCTGGGCAAGCTGATCAACGACGTTCGCAAGAAGACCAAGAATGAGGAGTTGGCCAAGCGCGCCAAGAAGCTGCTGCGGAGCTGGCAGAAGCTCATCGAGCCAGTGCACCCCAACGAGGCGGCGCTGCGGGGGCTGCCAGGGGCCGCGGGCTCGGCCAATGGGGGTGCGCACAACTGCCGGCCGGCCCGCCCCGTCCACGACCTTAAGAGCCGCAACGACGTCCAGCGGCTGCCCGCACCACGGCTGGACAGGCTGAGCAGCCAGAAGCGCCGAGGGGACCAGCGGGACCTCAGCCACCCTGGGCCACCTGCCAAGGTCTCCAAAGGGAGCCACGATGCCCTGGTCCCCAACTCGTCCCCCCTCCCCACGAACGGGATCAGCGGGAGCCCTGAGAGCTTCCCGGGCTCCCTGGATGGCCCTGAGGTGGGCCGCATGGACCCCACCGAGAACGACAAGCTTGGCGGCCGGATCCCTGTCCACGCTGTGCGGCCGCACACCAGCTCCCCGGGCCTGGGCCAGCCCCCCGGCCCCTACGCACAGACTAAGGCCCCGGGGCTGCAGCAGCTGGACCGGGGTGATGAGACCCCCGGCCCCCCGCACCCCAGGGGACCCCGCTGCTCCTTCAGCCCCCGGAACTCACGGCACGAAGGCTCCTTTGCCCGGCAGCGCAGCCCCTGCACGCCCAAGGGCTCCGTGTCCAGCCCCTCGCCGCGGTTACAGCCCCTTGATGCCCACCAGGTGCCGTCACCACTACCAACGTGCACGCCCCCCGTGCGGCGGCTAGAGCTGCCGCTGCGCGGGGAGAGCCCAGGCGGCTGGCCGGAGCCCGCGGAGAGCCGCCCCCGCCTGGCCGGCCCGCTGCCCTCGGAGCCCATGCCCCGCGCCGGCTTCTCCCCAGACCCTTCCAGGGCGGACAGCGACGCAGCCGCCTCTGGGGGTGCGGACAGCAGGAAGAAGAAGCGGTACCGGCCCCGCGACTACACCGTGAACTTGGACGGGCAGGTGGCCGAGGCGGGCATCAAGCCTGTGCGGTTAAAAGAGCGGAAGCTCACGTTTGACCCCATGACGAGACAGATCAGGCCTCTGACCCAGAAGGAGCCGGCGCGGGCGGGCAGCCCCACGGCCCCGGAGCAGGTGAGGACAGAGCAGGCGCCGGCCGAGGCCAGGGTCAGCCTGCAGAGCCCCTTCGAGCAGACGAACTGGAAGGAGCTGTCGGGCAACGAGATCATCCAGTCGTACCTGAGCCGGCAGAGCAGCCTGCTGCTGTCGTCGGGCACGCAGACGCCCGGGGCCCACCACTTCATGTCCAAGTACCTGAAGCAGGAGGAGAGCCGGCTCGGGGCCAGGCAGCCGCACGTGCTGCGGCCGCACAGCCCGCCCACGGACCTGCCCGGGCTCAGCCGCGAGGTCACGCAGGACGATCTCGACAGAATCCAGGCCCACCAGTGGCCTGGTGTCAACGGGTGTCAGGACACGCAGGGTAACTGGTATGACTGGACGCAGTGCATAGCGCTCGACCCGCATGGCGACGACGGGCGGTTGAATGTCCTGCCGTACGTTTGCCTAGACTGAGGGGCCCCGGTGCTGGCCGGGGGGTGTGGGGGGCTGGGCCGGGCAGCAGGGGCTCTCCGCAGCTGCCCCCCAAACTCTCCTTCTTCTGTGAAATGCTGCTACCAGTTTACTAACAAAATGGCAAAGGAAGGACCGCGCAGAAGGAAGGAAGCGAGTTCAGAACTCGAGCAAGCCAGCTGTAAGATGCCCCTGGCCGCCAGGCCAGGCCCCCGGGGCAGGGCTCCCCACAGCCCCAGGAGCACACGCCTCAGCCCCGGGCAGGGGCTGGGGGGGCCACCACGTCATCTGGCTCCAGTTCAGGCCCCCGTTGTTGAAATGCTGCACAGGTTGAGTTTCCTTGCGTTTCTTTCCCCGGCCCCTCCCGTCTGAGCAGCAGCCAGGACACCGTGGTGCCCGGGAGCCACAGGGCGTCCCCACGGTAGCTGGCAGCTCCTAAGCATTCCTCCAGACGCGTTTGCCTTATGGTTCTTGGTCATGACCGCGAGTCGCAGAAACAGGCGCCTTAGTGGACAGCCAGCCCAGGCCTTCTGCCCCCGGACGCAGAAGGGCAACTTTGCTATTTGGTCCAGTAAATGGACACCTTGTGATAGAAATGTGGAAATAAAAAAAAAAAATCATTTGCACAAACTGGTCTGAGAATGTCCTCCTGTTGGGCCCCTGCCAGGGGGCTGTATCCAGCACCCTCCAGCCCCGAGCTAGCAGGGGGCAGCTCCTGGAGGGCCAGGTCACCTCATCTGTGCCCCCCCCCGGCCCTGCAGGGGGTGCCCACACCGGGTGGCTGGGGAGTGGGGGTGCCCACATGTTGCTGCAGGGGGATCACAGGCAGCCCAGTAGAGTGTGAGGACACCAGGACAGTGACGCCCTGGTCCCGTGCAGGGGGCACCCTCACTGCTGGACAGTGACGCCCTGGTCCCGTGCAGGGGGCACCCTCACTGCTGGACAGTGACGCCCTGGCCCCCGTGCAGGGGGCACCCTCACTGCTGGACAGTGACGCCCTGGCCCCCGTGCAGGGGGCACCCTCACTGCTGGACAGTGACGCCCTGGCCCCCGTGCAGGGGGCACCCTCACTGCTGCACAGACACTCCCTGGCCCCCATGCAGGGGGCACCCTCATTATGGGACAGACACTCCCTGGCCCCCGTGCAGGGAGCACCCTCACTGCTGGACAGTGACGCCCTGGCCCCCGTGCAGGGGGCACCCTCACTGCTGCACAGACACTCCTTGGCCCCCGTGCAGGGGGCACACTCACTACTGCACAGACACTCCCTGGCCCCCGTGCAGGGGGCACCCTCACTGCTAGACGGTGACGCCCTGGCCCCCGTGCGGGGAGCACCCTCACTGCCCGACAGTGACGCCCTGGCCCCCGTGCAGAGAGCACCCTCACTGCTGGACAGGGACGCCCTGGCCCCCGTGCACAGACACTCCCTGGCCCCCGTGCGGGGAGCACCCTCACTGCTGGACAGGGACGCCCTGGCCCCCGTGCGGGGAGCACTCTCACTGCTGGACACCGTGCCCTGGACCCAGCCTGCCCGCGCCTTCCGCTTCCTGGGATCGGGCCTGCCCCTTCCGGAAGCGCGCACACCCCCAGGGGGTGGGGCCCGTCCGCGCGACGTGGTGCCGGCGCAGCCGGGTGACGCCACGGGGCCGTCGGGCAGGGGCGGCCGCGCGGGCGGGATGGCGGCGGCGGGCGCGGCGGGCGCGGGGGGCCCGGCGGGCGCGGGGGGCGGCGGGGCGCGCGAGGGCGCGCGCGTGGCGGCGCTCTGCCTGCTGTGGTACGCGCTGAGCGCGGGCGGCAACGTGGTCAACAAGGTGATCCTGAGCGCCTTCCCGTTCCCGGTGACCGTGTCGCTCTGCCACATCCTGGCGCTGTGCGCGGGGCTGCCGCCGCTGCTGCGCGCCTGGCGGGTGCCGCCCGCGCCGCCCGTCTCGGGCCCGACGCCCGCCGCCGGTCCGCAGCTGCCTCCGCGCTTCTACCCGCGCTACGTGCTGCCGCTCGCCTTCGGCAAGTACTTCGCGTCCGTGTCGGCGCACGTCAGCATCTGGAAGGTGCCGGTGTCTTACGCGCATACGGGTGAGGGGACGTCCAAGGGTCCGCGGTGCGTGGGGTGAGGGGTGCCCAGGGGTCCAGGGCGCGTGGGGAGAGGGTGCGCCCAGGGGTCCAGGGCGCGTGGGGAGAGGGTGCGCCCAGGGGTCCACGGCGCGTGGGGAGAGGGTGCGCCCAGGGCCCAGGGCGCGTGGGGTGAGGGGTGCCCAGGGGTCCAGGGCGCGTGGGGAGAGGGTGCGCCCAGGGGTCCAGGGCGCGTGGGGAGAGGGTGCGCCCAGGGGTCCGCGGCGCGTGGGGAGAGAGGGCGCCCAGAGGTCCAGGGCGCGTGGGGAGTGGGCCGGAGGTGCGACGCATTGGGAGTGTGCAAAGTTGGGACTGGTGCGGATGGAGATGGGGGGAGTGGGCAGACGGCTGAGGGGGTGCCTGCGGGGGGGGGGGTCGCCCCGTGTGGGTAGTGGGCAGAGGGGCGTAGGCACCCACACTGGGCAGGGTGGGGTGGAAGGAGGTCTGAGCACCCCCTGACTCCCCTCCCTGTCTTCCCTCAGTCAAGGCCACCATGCCCATCTGGGTGGTCCTGTTGTCCCGGGTGATCTTGAAGGAGAAACAGAGCACAAAGGTAACCCGGCAGGTGCAGGGGGCCCAGGGGCGGCTCCCCCACTGCCTCCTGGGGTAACCCTGGGGTAACCTGGCAGGTGCAGGGGGCCCAGGGGCAGCTCCCCCACTGCCTCCTGGGGTAACCCGGCAGGTGCAGGGGGCCCAGGGGCGGCTCCCCCACTGCCTCCTGGGGTAATCCTGGGGTAACCTGGCAGGTGCAGGGGGCCCAGGGGCAGCTCCCCCACTGCCTCCTAGGGTAACCTGGCAGGTGCAGGGGGCCCAGGGGCAGCTCCCCCACTGCCTCCTGAGGTAACCCGGCAGGTGCAGGGGGCCCAGGGGCGGCTCCCCCACTGCCTCCTGGGGTAACCCGGCAGGTGCAGGGGGCCCAGGGGCAACTTCCCAACTACTGCCCAAGTGGTGACGTGGTCAGCCACGCTGGCTTCCTGTCACACAAGGAAGTGGGTGTGCAAGGCCTCCCACGACATTTACCGCTACCGTGTTGGCAGGGTGTCCCAAGCAGACACCTCCGAGCTGCCAGCCTCATGGGAGGGGACAGAGGGGAAGCACCACCCTCCCTGGGTGGCACAACCCCATAACGCGCGAGCTTCGTACCACAAGTGCATCGGCCAAGCTCTGCGTTTGCAATAGAGAAGGAGATGGGGTAGGAGAAGGGTTGTTTGCAAAAGTCCCAGGGACTCTCCAGGGTTCAGACAGCTAGCCTGTGGGGTCTGAGCATGGGCTGGGAGTGGAGCAGCCCAGCCCTGCCCTGTGTCTCTAAGTAGAAGTGGGGGTCCGCCGCCATAGGCCATGGCAGCACCTGCCTCCCCCCTCCAAGTGGCTGGGTTTCTCGGATGAAGGATTTTTTGTAATTGGGAACAGTGGCAGCCCAGGCCAGCTGCTGGAAACGGGGCCACCTGCGAGGCTGTGAGGTGTTGGTGTTTTTGGTAGCTCAGCCTGACCTGCGTGTGGGGGCGCAGCCGCCCCCCAGGTGTCAGTGTTGCCATGGAAGTGAGCACATTGAGCTGATGGGGTACCCAGCCTGGGCACAGCAGGTGGTCAGCTGAGCAGTGATGGCAAGGGGAAGGAGGCATTGCTTGGGGACCTGCCCTGTGAGGTGGGTGGGACAGCCTGCTGCTGGAAGGGCTGCAGTTCACCCAGCCTGCAGCTCCTTCTTAAGGCTGCGTGGTGGGGCCTGCCTGTCGGGCCGTGTGACCCACACCTTCCCCACACCGTGTCCTGGTGTTTGCTGTATCCTTGCCCTATCAGCAGCTGAGCCTGCCAGCAGCGGCAGTGCTGTGTGCCCTGAATCTGGGGACAGTGTGAGGGCTGGACTGCAAGGGTTGGGTAGCTCCTTGGGGACATGCACCCCAGGACAGGGTCCCTGCACCTGCTGGCTGAGCCCGCAAGCTCTGTGCTGGTGAGTGGATTGGGGGGTCCCAGGCAGCGGTCACTGCATGTTGGCTGGTCATCTGTTCCCACCCAGCTTCTGGGGGGCAGGGGCGCCCCGGGAGGCCAGCTCAGTCCCCACGCTGCCCACACAGGTCTACCTGTCGCTCATACCCATCATCAGTGGTGTCCTGCTGGCCACCGTCACCGAGCTGTCCTTTGATGTGTGGGGGCTCGTCAGCGCCCTGGCAGCCACGCTCTGCTTCTCGCTGCAGAACATCTTCTCCAAGAAGGTACTGAGTTCGATGGGGGGACGGAGAGGGACCATCAAGTGGAAGGTCCCGGGGATGGGGGGACGGGAAGGCGGGGGTCAGAGCGGCCGTCAGCCACGCCTGGCCGTCGCTCCCCGTCTCCTCGTTAAAGAAGATCTTTTCCTGGAATGAAGTGTGCAGATCCTCCAGCCCCTGCCTCATGTCCCACTCTGGGTTTACGAGGAGCCGTGGTGACGTGGCCCTGACCACACCTCCCTGGCCACCCAGGGTCAACATAGCTGAGCAGGGCTTGTAGCACAGCGGGTGGAGCCACCACTGGGATGGCCGCTGGTTCCAGTTGTGTCTCTGCGTCCCCAGCCATTGTCCCGCTCACAGGGAGACCCAGATGGAGCTTTAGGCTCCTGGCTTGGGCCTGGCCCCGCCCTGGCTGCTGTGGGCACTCGGGGAGTGACCCGGCAAGTGGAAGATCTCTGTAGTTCTCTGCAATTCTGCCTTTCATATTAAAAATATGTACATACGTATCTTCCCAGAGAAAAATCACTCTTTGCACATTTCTTTTTAAGACTTATTTATTTTATCAGAATGTCAGATTTACAGAGAGAAGTAGAAACTGGGAGAAACACTCTCCGTTTATCTGCTGATTCACTCCCCAAGTGGCTGCAATGGCCAGAGCTGAGCCGATCCGAAGCCAGGAGCCAGGAGCCTCTTCCGGGTCTCCCACGCTGGTGCAGGGTCCCAAGGCTTTGGGCCGACCCGCACTGCTTTCCCAGGCCACAGGCAGGGAACTGGGTGGGATATGACCGGCGCCTCTATAGGATGCCAATGCTTGCCTGGGGAGAATTTAGCCTGTGAGCCATCGCCCAAGCCCTGCGCAGTTTACCCAAGGTATGTGTAACAATATATTTAAAAGCTACTGTTGCATGAACGTTCCCAGTGTCCTTGAACCAGTGGATGCAGTCTGACCCCCCATGGCGTTATGGATATACACTGCTGGAGTGAGCAAGCGGAGGGGGCTGGTTGGTTTTTTTCTGACTCTGAACTTTGTGACTGTGGCAGTAGCCTCTGGGGCAGAGCTGGGCTGCAGACAGGAGCTGCTTCCAGGTGTGCCATGTGAATGGCAGGGACCCCAGGCACCTGCTGCCCCGGGGAGGGGGTGCTGGGACTGTGGGAGCCCTGTGTCCAGGGTTGTCCCAGGGGGCTCTTGGACCACAGTGGCAGTGGGCGGGTCTTGGTCCTGTACTCGCTGTGCGCTGGCATGGGTGCCACGCGTAGTGCCTGGGTAGGAGGTGCCCAGGGGGCCAGGGTTCTCCCTCCCATCAGCTACTTTGGAGTCTTGCGGGGTGCGGGCGGCGAGGTGACATCACCGTGTAACAGCTGGCTGGCCCGGCTCGCTGCCCATGCACCTTTCGTGCCCTGCGAGGCAGTTAGCAAGCAAGGTAGCGGCCTGGCCGGCTTGCACTGTGGGCACCCAGCAGGGTGTGGGTGGGTGGGTGGGAACGGCTCTGAGCGCCTTCCCCGTCCCAGGTGCTGTGGGCGTCCAGCGGGGCCTGGGGTGTGGGTGGGAACGGCTCTGAGCGCCTCCCCTGTCCCAGGTGCTGTGGGTGCCAGTGGGCGGGCCGGGGTGGGTGGGTGTGGGTGGGAACCGCTCTGAGCGCCTCCCCTGTCCCAGGTGCTGTGGGCGTCCAGCGGGGCCTGGGGTGTGGGTGGGTGGGAACGGCTCTGAGCGCCTCCCCTGTCCCAGGTGCTGTGGGTGTCCAGTGGGGCGGGGCCTGGGGTGTGGGTGGGTGTGGGTGGGTGGGAACCGCTCTGAGCGCCTCCCCCGTCCCAGGTGCTTCGAGACTCGCGGATCCATCACTTGCGCCTGCTCAGCATCCTAGGCTGCCACGCCATCTTCTTCATGATCCCCACGTGGGTGCTGGTGGACCTGTCGGCCTTCCTGATCAACAGCGACCTGGTGAGCTGCCCGGCGCCCAGGGCACGCCTGCATCAGGCCACCCAGCCCTGGGTGCTCGCTGGCCCTAGAGGGAAGGAACCCGTGCGTGGGGCTGCCAGGGCTCGAGGGAGAAAGGGTGCCAGTGGGAGGTGAGGGGACCCCCGCTGCTGCAGAGAGCCGCCCGCCTTCCCAGGACCTGCTGGGGGCTTCGGAAAGTTCCAGTGCCACCTCTTCTGATTCCAGTTCCCACTCAGGGAGGCCCAGGTGCGTGGGTCCTGCACCCACGTGGGAAAGCCGGGTGGAGCTCCTGGCTCCTGGCCCAGCAGCAGCTGCTGGGGCCATTTTGGGGAGTGACCCAGTGGAGGGGCTAGCCCCCTCTCTGTCCTGCCCTGTGTTGGAGCAGCAGGTCTAGCCGTGTCTTGTGGCCTAACCTCATGGGTACTGCAGCCATGTTCCTGCCCTGGGACCCCCTGTAGTGCTGCTGCGATGGAACCAACAACGTGCCCACCCTTCTCACGTGCAACATGGTTTCGTGTTCATTTTCATCTGTGGAGAAGCAGAGCAAAAGGAGTAACTTCTGTCCACTGGTTCACTCCCCAACTGGCCGCAACAGCCAGAGCTGAGCTGATCCAAAGCCAGGAGCCAGGAGCCTCTTCCGGGTCTCCCATGCAGGTGCAGGGTCCCAAGGCTTTGAGCTGTCTTCCACTACTTTCCCAGGCCACAGGCAGAGAGCTGGATGGGAAGTGGGGCAGCTGGGATTAGAGCCGGCACCTGAATACAAGTGTCACAGGTGGCCAGCTGACCCACTGCACCACAGAGACGGCCCCTTCTGTGGCCCTGCCCTTGTGCCCAGGGACAGGAAGGCCCTGTGCACTCTGCGGACTTGGGGGTCTCTGTCTGCATCTTCCCTGTGGGTCCCCTGGCTGGGGGTATGCTCATAGGACATCCCCCGTTGGACATAGGTCTTGGGGAGTCCCAGGGAGTACAGCCATGTGGCCATGAGAGGGAGGAGTCTGGAAGGTGACCTCCTGAAGTGGTCCCCAACATCTGCGCACACAGCAGCCTGAGCCTGGGTGCCAGCAATGGTGGCAGACCTCAGGCTGGCTGGCCTATTGCCCACCCCCACCACCTCCCCGGGGCAGGCTGGTCTCCCTAGGACCCCACACAGCCCAGCCTGCCCTGGCTGTGACCCAGGGACCTGCGGGAGTGGCATGGCCACTGCCGATCTGTGGCTTTGTCCTCAGAGAAACCCCAGGGGCCATAGAAAGCACTGCAACCAGCACCTACCAGCCAGGGTCAGGTGCACAGCCAGCCCAGAGCCAGCAGGGCCGCAGGTGGTGTGTAAGAAGACAGTTCCCACAACTAGCCTGTGTCTGGGGGCCGGCGCTGTGGTGCCCTGGGGAGGGCCATGCTTTTAACACCAGCATCCCGTATGGGGGCAGGCTGCTCCCCGTGCCATCCGGCTCCCTGCTGGTGCACCTGCGTGGCAGGGATGAGACCAGCAGAGGCCCTGGCCCAGCCCTGGCTGTTACGGCCATCCGGGAAGTGGGACCAGCAGGCGAAAGGTCTCTCTCTGCCTCTTCCCCCTTGCTCTCTGTAATGCTGCCTTTCAAATAGATCTTTAAAGATAAATAAATAAATTTGAGATTTTCTTAAAAAGGCCTGGTTTGCTGACAGACAGATGTGGGCACTCCAGAGCCTTCCTCATTGGTCCCCTTCTGGAGGGCTCCTGGGGGGCAGAGAGCAGCGGGCTGCCCTGAAGGTACACCCAGACTGCAGGGTGTTGCTCACCAGGTATGAGCAGGGCCTCCTGGTCCGCCTGGCTGCCCTGACCTGGCGAGGTCAGACAGGGACCGCCCATCTGCCTGCCTTTGGCTGTATTCTTGCTCTAAGATGCTCCTAAAGCTGGGACCCTGCTGGGGCCTTGTGGGTACCCTCCACCCCACGGGCTCTGAGCAGGTCAGGCAGTCCTCTCGCAGGCACAGCGGAGGCATCGGACATGCAGGGTGTGCCCTGACCAGCAGGCAGGCCTTGGCTGGCCAGGCCGTGCTTCTCCACTTCTCATTGCACAGCCTGGGCTGCAGGAGACGCACAAGGAGCTCCAGACTCCTGGCTTCAGTCTGGCCCTTTCAGGAGGGCGAGTCAGCAGGCAGCTGGGCCCAAGTCCTCCCTGCTGAGCCCGCCCTCGCCGCCCACCCTCGCAGGCCTCGGTGGCGCCGTGGCCCTGGACGCTGCTGCTGCTGGCCGTGAGCGGCTTCTGCAACCTGGCCCAGAACGTCATCGCCTTCAGCATCCTCAACCTGGTGAGCCCGCTGAGCTACTCGGTGGCCAACGCCACGAAGCGCATCCTGGTCATCTCCGTGTCCCTCATCCTGCTGCGCAACCCGGTCACCAGCACCAACGTCCTGGGCATGCTCACGGCCATCCTGGGGGTCTTCCTATACAACAAGGTGGGCAGGGTGGGGAGGGGCTGGGGCCTTGCTTCCGGCTGACCACAGACACTGCGCCTGCGTCCTCGGGGCCCTGGGGGTCTTCCTGTACAACAGGGTGGGCAGGAGCACACTTCTGGCCCTGCCGCCAACTGCAGGCTTGCTGTCCACGCCCTCGGGGCCCCAGCCGCCTTCCGTGGCAGCCCCCTGGTGCTCCTGGGCTGGGCCTCCTCCAGGAAGGCTGCCTGGCCCTTGTCCCTGGAGGTCGTGTGTGTGTATGTGGTGTGTGTGTGTGTATGTGATGTGTGTGTGTGTGTGTGTACACGTACATACGTGTGTACGCATGTGCTGGGTCACCCCAGCATGACCCAGCCGCTTTCCCCCGGCAGACCAAGTATGACGCCAACCAGCAGGCCAGGAAGCACCTGCTCCCGGTCACGGCGGCCGACGCAGCCAGCAAGGAGCGGCAGCCCAACGGCCTCCTCTTCCCGCCGCCTGGGGACTATCCATACGGCCGCGAGCACCTGCAGTACAGCCGGACTGGTCACCCTGGCTCCTATACCTTGAACCGCTTCGATGTCTAAGCAGTGGGCCACCCCCAGCGGAGGACACCCCCACCGGGCACAGGGACACGAGGACACACCTGGAGTCTTTCACAGGGTCATGGTCCCCCAGCGCTGTGCTTGCTGGTTCCTGGTGGGCCGCCATAGGGCGCTCTTCTGGCACCCTTAGGGGGTCTGCCACTTCTGAGAGGACTTTGCCTTTGCACTTTTCTGGAATGTTCTGTGGCTGGGTCCCTGGCAAGCCCCCCGGGTCTGGAGGCCACAGCCCACTCATGGCAGGAGACATGGGAGTGGCCGAGCCTGGGTCAGTGCACCATGCCACGTGGACTCTGTGGAAGCTGTGGGGCCACCGGTGTGCATTCTGTGACGACCTAACTCACTGACGCCCCCCGGTGAGGACCACAGGACAGGCCCTCGTGGAGGAGGCCAGGGGCTTCCTGCTCCAGGACTCGTGCCCTGTGCCTCACTCCTGGGTGCTGGGGCTGTCCGACCTGGTCTTGGATTGCTGGAATTTTGTATTGAAGCAGTGGTGTCCCGGAGCGGGCCCTCGTCTGTCCCTGCACAGCCCCGTGGCTGCCTGCTGACTGCTGCCTGGCCCAGTTACCCTCCACTGTCTTTGTGTCCGTCGTGTGTGTGACCGCGGGGACTGCGTCCTCACCCCTGCCCTTCTGCTCCAGCTTGGACTGTGGGCTGCAGGATGGAGTTGGCCGGACTGCACTGCCCTTACAGCCTGACCAACGGGATGGGCTCATGGGCTCCGATCGCCTGCACGGGGCTGGCCTGGCCCACGCTGCCCCCTCCTCCCATGACCGTGACGCTTCTTGGCTTGGCAGAGGGGCAGGTGGGCTCACAGCATGACCCCGCACACACTTTGGGAGGCACAGTTTGAAGCACCTTAAGGTCGCAGACTCTGTGAGGCAGTGCGGCAGAAGCAGGCGAGGCTCAGCCGCGGACAGGTGGGCCCGGCGTCCCCACCTGGGCGTAACCAAGGGGGCAAAAGACTGGGTCCTTCTGCTCCCTGGGTGAGCAGTGATGTGTGGTCACACATGGCATTTACCAAAAATTAAAAAAAATCAAGGTTTCCAGGGCATTGGTAGGTCCCACCTCCCCACAGGGCTCTGTCCCGTGAGGGGTGCTGGGGTGCTGTACGCAGCCCCCGCTGGAGCTCCTGGCTATGACCTGGACCAGCCCTGGGGGCGATGGCTCTTTGGGGAGTGACCCAGCAGATGGAAGCAGTGTCACTCCGCATTTCCAATAAATAACTTATTTGAAGTGTGTGTGTGTGTGTGTGTGTGTGTGCAGGGCAAGACACTCAGCCGTGTTGTGTGGCCTTTGGTCCCTCCAGAACCAAGTTTCAGTTCCACTGCTTCACTCCGCATAGCTGGTCTTTATTAAGCACAATGGGGGCGGGCAGAGGGATGAGGTCCCGGCACCGGTTCTGGCTCATCCACTTCCCACTCAGCTCCCTATTGAAGTGTTAAGCACGCAGCCCTGCCCCTCACATCTTTAAAGCAACACAGGAGGCCAGCTTAGCCAAGGCCCTGACCGGACGCCCCTTCTAATCTCTGTCCAGGTGGAGACCAGCCCCTGCTCCCGGGGTCCTTGGCTAGCAGGCTCCTGCAAGTCAGGGCTGCCCCAAGCACCCAAATGACCATGTGACCACAGCGGGCCCCTGTGTGGGTCTTCCACCCTACTGGGGGTCTGCACGGGTGTGGGAGCTTGGAGGAATGTCGCAATGGGGTCACAGCCCAAGGAGGGGAGCACCATCCTATTTTTTGAGACTATGTAAGAATTTCAGAGAGCTTGCATCTGCTGGGTCGCTCTCCAGATGGCCCCAATGGCCACACAGGCCCAGAGCCTTGTGGCTGCAGGCAGCTGGTCTGTCTCTGCTGTTTTCCCCAGCCCCCGTGGACCAGAGGCAGTGGGAACCAGCGTGATGAGCCACAGGCCCTGGGCCACCCACGGGGGAAGCCCAGCTGGCCACCCACCAAAGGAAGCTCTTTCTCCCTAGCTCTCCACCTTCTTCAAACAAGACTTTCTTTTAACAAAACCCAAGGCTGGCAGCTACACAGAAAAGGCGCTGGCCAGCACCCGCTCAGGCCGAGTACGTGCACAAGCAGCTTGTGGACAGCAGGGTCCCCAGCCTCCCACATGGCCCCTCATGCAAGCAGCCTCTTGGGCCAACGCGCCTTGTGATGGGCGTCCCGGCTCCTGCCCTCACTCCTCATTACGACAAACTCCTCCCATCTTACTTGACTTTCCTGAGTTTTTCTATGTGAAAGGCACAGAGAAGAGAGGGAGACCGGGGTCTTCCACCTGCCCGTTCACCCCTCTACCCCCAATACCAACAGTCAGGACTGACCAGGCGCTTCCTCTGGGTCCCCGACGCAGACGCAGGATCCCAAGCCTCCCTCACTTCCTCGGTCCATTCTCCGCTGCCTTCCGAGGCCACACGGCGGGAGCCGGCTGCGAAGGGGAGCAGCCGGACTCGAACCCACCACGTGCCAACGCTGAAACGGACGGAACCTCCTAGACGCGCCTGCACGGCGGCCCAGCCGGACCGGCGGACCCCGCGCGCTCGCTTCCGGCGTCTCCCCGGCGACGGCCGTAAGTGGCGGGCGGAAGCGGCCCCGCCGTAAACGCGGCTCCCGCGCGCGCGGCACTTCCGGCCGGGTTCTGCGGACGGCGGTCGTGGAGGCGGCGGAGGACGTTGGGCGGCCGGCGCCATGGAGATGCCTCTGCCGCCGGAGGGTGAGGGCTGGGGGGCCGGGCACACGGGCGAGAGGGACCGCGGCGTGTGGGGTGAGGGCTGGGGGGGCCGGGCACACGGGCGAGAGGGCCACGGGGTGACGGGGAGAGGGCCTGGGGGTGCGGGGCGAGGGGACACGGGGAGAGGGGGCCGTGGGGAGGCCTGGGGGACCTAGGGTGAGGGCCACGGGGTGACGGGGAGAGGGGCCGGGGGAACGGGGTGCGCCATGGAGATGCCATTGCTGCTGCCGGGTGAGGTCTGAGGGTACGGAGGAGGGGGTGCCAGGGTGCCAGAGGGTGAGGCCTGGGGGTGCAGAGAGGGGTGGGGGTGCTGGGTGCAGGGGTAAGGGCCTGGGGATGCAGGGGTAAGGGCCTGGGGGTGCAGGGGTAAGGGCCTGGGGGTGCAGAGGAGAGGGCTGGGGGTGCGGGGTGCAGGGTAAGGGCCCGGGAGTGTGGGGGAGCGAGACCAGACCTAGGGCACCCCGGGAACTGGCCGCACAGGCCTCCCCGCAGGCACGGCTCCCTGGACCAGTGGGAGGAGGAAAAGGAAGATGGGCTGCAGGAGGACGGCCCTCCCAAACCGGCGGCCGGGACGGGGGACAGGGTTGGGGTGCAGGCCGTGGCCCCCGATCCCCAGCTGACTCCCTACGTGGCCCCCGGGCGGCGTTCCCCGTGCAGACCAGGAGCTCCGCAATGTCATCGACAAGCTGGCCCAGTTCGTGGCGCGCAACGGGCCCGAGTTTGAGAAGATGACGATGGAGAAGCAGAAGGACAACCCCAAGTTCTCGTTCCTCTTTGGGGGCGAGTTCTACAGCTACTACAGGTGCAAGCTGGCCCTGGAGCAGCAGCAGCGTAAGTGTCCGGGGCCAGGAGCAGGGGGGCGGCGGTGAGAGGTGATAGGGGCAGCCGGGAGCAGGGGGGCGGCGGTGAGAGGTGAGGGGGCAGCCGGGGGCAGGGGGTGGCGGTGAGAGGTGATAGGGGCAGCCGGGAGCAGGGGGGCGGCGGTGAGAGGTGATAGGGGCAGCTGGGAGCAGGGGGGCGGCGGTGAGAGGTGAGGGGGCAGCCGGGAGCAGGGGGGCGGCGGTGAGAGGTGATAGGGGCAGCTGGGAGCAGGGGGGCGGCGGTGAGAGGTGAGGGGGCAGCTGGGAGCAGCAGGGCAGTGATAGGGGCGTGGCTAGAAGCAAGGGGGCAGAGGGGGAGTAAGACCCCCACCTGACCCCAGGGTCTGTGTTTGGGTGGTACTGGGGACATCTGAATGGCCTGCCAGCCGTCCCTGCCCGGGCATTGGAGGGAGTTAGGTTTTGTACCTGTTCTGAAGAACCAAGCTGGGCTTGGGGGTGCTGGTCCTGCCCCGCTCAGGTCCTGACACGGGTTTGTGGGGTGGCTTTTCACGGGGCAGGTGGCCCCTTGTGCCGGTCCTGGCTTGGGGAACAGGCCCGGGGCCTGGTGGGTTCCTTTTTTGTGGTCCTAGTGCCCTCGTCCGGAGCACAGTTGGGTAAACGCGCGTGGCAGGCAGCCTGGCACGCAGCTGAGACACCAGGGCTCGAGTAAGCAGTGGGCGTAGAGCTCCGGACAGGCCTGCGTGTCTGACTGCAGTGGATAATGAGCGCTCAGCATGTGAGTGCGTGGGCCGGGAGCCACGGCCCGCCAGCCTTGACATCGGCAGATGCCCTTCACAGCGGGTGGGGAGGTGGGTGTGGCCGCTGTGAAGACAGGCCCGGGCGCTGGGGACGGATACTGGCACGCCTGTTAGGTCGTGGGGCGCAGGCACGGGTGGCAGCTCAGTACGGACAAGGGGTCTGCCAAGAGAGCTGTGTTTTCCGTGTGAGGGAGCCCACCATGGAGGGTCAGAAATGGGGGGCTGCAAGGTGGCCACACCAAGGGAGGTCGGGGGTCAGCACCTGGGCTGCAACCCAGAGGGGAGAGGCCTTGGAGGCCAGGACTCGTTCTGGGGGTGGCGGGACCGTGCTGGAGCTGCACTCGGCAAGCCCCAGGACCGGCCCAGGTGTGGTTCTCTGCTGGCTGGCACGTCCGGGTGGATGGGGGTCTGTAGAGTCAGGAGGTTGCCCAGGCAACCATGACCCTTCACATGACTGCTGGTACAGGGAGCGAGGGGTGTGGTCTGAGGCTGCTGGGGGGAAGCGCGCAGCCCCGCTGCTGCCCTGGGACTGTGGGCACAGGCGAGAGCACGGGGTGGGGTGGTTCTGGCTGCCCCCACAGCCGTGGGAAACATCCCCACGCCCAGCCAGCTTGCCTTGGGGTGGGCCTGCGGGGGACTTCACGGATCATGGTCACGCAGGTGAGGCAGGACTGCCTGAACAGGGCGCCTCCCGTCTCCCTTGGCCAGCCTTGGGGGGCAGGCTGAAGGGTTGGGGGGACGGGCAGGTGGCTGCTGCACCCAGGCCCCAGCTCTGCCACCGCCTCACCAGGGCCCCGGGCCGCTCCACCCGCAGTCCTCTGCAAGCAGCAGGCCCCGGAGCTGGAGCCGGCCGCGGCCCTGCCGCCCCTGGCACAGCCCCCGCCGGCCCAGGGGACCCCATCAGTGGACGAGCTCATCCAGCAGAGCCAGTGGAACCTGCAGCACCAGGAGCAGCACCTGCTGGCCCTCCGACAGGTACTGAGTCCCGGGTGAGGCCCCGGTTCTTGGGGGGGTCTGCAGAGGCCGTGAGGTCCCCAGTGGGGCAGGCTGACGTCAGCCCGAGCCCTTCAGGAGCAGGTGACAGCGGCCGTGGCGCACGCCGTGGAGCAGCAGATGCAGAAGCTGCTGGAGGAGACGCAGCTGGACATGGCTGAGTTCGACAACCTGTTGCAGCCCATCATTGACACGTGCACGAAGGATGCCATCTCGGTGAGGCCCCTGGGCGGCGGAGGGCCGTGGGCGTGGGCAGCAGCGGGCACCTCCGTGGCCCCTCACCTGCAGTGTGGCTGCCGCAGGCCGGCAAGAACTGGATGTTCAGCAACGCCAAGTCGCCACCGCACTGCGAGCTGATGGCTGGCCACCTGCGCAACCGCATCACGGCTGAGGGCGCGCACTTTGAGCTGCGGCTACATCTCATCTACCTCATCAACGACGTGCTGCACCACTGGTGAGCCTGCCGCCCCGCTCCTCCCCGCCCTGCACCGCTGCTGAGCCTGCCGGGCCCCTCGGTGCCTCAGCCCTGCCGGAGAAGGGCCTGCGCAGGCCTGGCTGGCTGGGCCCGCCTCTCTCCTGGTGCCACGGCCGCTTC